AGCTGGCGCAGCAGGACAGCCCCGGCGACGCTCGCTCAGGTGGACAGGTGAGGCCGGACCCAGCACACCTCTACAAACAGGCCTTCCATCTGCTGACGCCCGGGTTGGAGGGAAAGTAACGCACCTGTTTTGTGGCTTGATAGGCGGGTCTGCTGGGGGTGGGGTGCGAGTCAGTGACAGTGGCACCCAGCCTTGGCCCTTCCGAAAGATGCTGACACACACATTTCAGACACTGTCGAGTGGGGACTGTGCCTCCCCGTGATTTTGGTATGTGTAGCTCTCCTGGCCTTGCCGTGTTTGTTACTGCCCGCCCTGTCCCCTCCCTGACCTGCCATCCTGGGGGAGGCACTGTATCTGCTCTGTCCTGTGCAGTGGCCACTGGCCACGTGTGTCCCTGGACCTCGTGTGCGTCCCTGGGGCCGAGGGAGTAAAGTCTTCCGTTGGAGCCGGCGCGGGCGGCTCGTGCCCACCGCGGCGCGTGATGCGGTTCTAGCCTTGTGAATTGTTGATTAGCTCCTTCGCCGAGCTGCTGAGTTGACGTACGGAACTCGAGTGCACTGGGGCTGTCATTTTTACGGCCGGTTCATTAACAGAAGCTTTCAGGGGCATTCGTTTTCTCTGTTGGGAACGAAGTCAAATAGGGGCAAAGCCCGCAGATTCCCGCGTCTTGCCACTGGGGGGAACGGGCGCTTTGCATCCTCTGCTGACGTTTCTTCACAGCCTCTGCCTCTGGGTGAGGCCTGGAAGCTGGGCGCCCCACCCCCACCCCTGACCTCGAGCGGTCTCGGAGCAAAATTGGCTGTGCTGGTTCTGGAGCGGAGGGTCCCCACTCTGCTCCTGGGGGCACCGGCCCACACAGGCTATGAACCGCCAGTGCCGGGTCTGGGTGTGGGCGCTCGGGTGTTCACAGCAGGGTGCTTGCAGGTCGGATGGGTGTAAAATACGGAGAGGGAAGGAGCTACCGGCTCCGCCCAGCAGCTCCTGCTACAAGGCTGGTCTCCTTCCCGCCAGTGTAGATCAGGGGCCACTCGGCCCTGCAAACTCGCTCCTGCACAGTAGGCTTCACAGCGGGGCAGGAGGCAGGGAAGGGTGGGCGGTGTCAGGCCCTCCGTGGCGACCAGGGGTGTTGGGGGGCGAGGGTTATAGTAGAAGCTGCTCAAGGATCCCATCCTGGCCTAGGTGGCCCCTCAGTGCCCCCCACCCCCCATGCACGGCTCAAGGTGAGACCCAGCAGCGTACCCTGCCCCCTGAGCTGAGCAGTGCAGGCTGGGACGGGCGTGGCTGACCCTGCTGGGAGGGAGGCTCCCAGCTGCTGATAGCAGAGCCTATCTGCTGTCCCGAACCAGCACCACACCCTCCTGTTGGCTCCCGAGATAAGGATGGGGGATGCTCTGTGTCCCAGTCCCGGCCAAGCTTGGGGATGGCAGGAGCAGCAAACCCGTGTCAGCACTCTGCGTAACGGCCACTGCCTCTGAGGAGGGCAGACCATAGTGCAGCACCGAGGCGCCTGGCAGCCCAGAGTAGACCAGAACCCGGACCCAGCAGGGCCTTGTCCTTGCCAACTGCACAGCGGGCATTTCAACCCCAACTCGCTGCCCCCCCTTCCCATTTAACACCCCGGCTCCGCCCTCCCTGGATGGCAGGATGGGAGCTGTCCCCAGTTTGAAACGAGAGGTCAGCCACTTGCCAAGCTCATCTGCCCAGGGCAGATACGGTATCCCTCTGAGCCGGGGGGCTCTCCTGGCCACCCCTCCTGGGCTGCCCTCTTGACAGGCCCCAGGAGTGGCTGAAGGGCCAGAGAACGAGGCCATGACCCCAGCCCACCGCCAGCCTGGCCCTCCTGCTGGGTCTTGGCGCAGGAGCCCAGGCTGCCCTAGGACGAGTCCTCGGCTGGTGAAGAATGACAGGTGGCAGCAGTGGTTTGGGCCGTGTCCTCTAAGGCCGTGAGCGCAGAGACCCTGGGACTGGCTGAGGGGTCCCGTGCAGCTGCACTAACCAGGTGGGAAAAAGCTGAGAAGCCTTTTGAATTTCCAGCGTGAATTCTCCCACTTTGAAGAGCTGGCAAATGACACTGGGCAGTCTCAACCCAAGAGGCCAGAGGACCGGCCTGTGGAGTCACGGCGGAAGCATGCAGTCTCAGAAGTCTCAGTGGCAACCAACTCAGCAGCGACAGCTCTCCTGGGACGGGGGCGGCACAGCAGTGCATCTGCCGCGGCGAGCAGAGCCCCACGGAGCTGCAGCCGGCACCCTCAGTTTCTGTACAGGGAGGGTGTGGGCAGACCACCGTGAGACGCCGTCGCAGGACTGCAGACCCTGGCGCCTCTTGCTGTCTGGGAATCTGAGTCACAGCCGGCGCTGCCTGGAGTCTGAGCAAAGGTCTGGGGGTGGACCTGCAGGTGCAGGGTTCAGGCTGAAGGGTGGCTTTGGGCCGGGCCAGGTGGCTCACGCCTGTAATCCTACCACTCTGGGAGGCCGAGGCGGGCGGATTGCTCGAGGTCAGGAGTTCGAAACCAGCCTGAGCAAGAACGAGACCCTCGTCTCTACTATAAATAGAAAAGAAATTAATTGGCCAACTAAGATATATATAGAAAAAATTAGCCGGGCATGGTGGCGCATGCCTGTAGTCCCAGCTACTCGGGAGGCTGAGGCAGCAGGATTGCTTGAGCCCAGGAGTTTGAGGTTGCTGTGGGCTAGGCTGATGCCACGGCACTCACTCTAGCCTGGGCAACAGAGTGAAACTCTGTCTCAAAAAAAAAAAAAAAAAAAGGGTGGCTTTGCCGGCAGAAGCAGGTGGCCCCGTGACGGGTTGCCTCTGCAGGGCCACCAAGCCCTGTTTGGGACTGCAGGGCCTCACCTGTAGACACAGAGCTGAGGCCAGTGCCCCCTGTCTCGCCCACCTGGGCCTCCTCGGTCGCCCTGTGTTGACTCGGCACCCGGTATCCTGGTCACACACGGGAGGTCACTTCCCGCACCTTCAGGGACTCACCAGGGCTCCACAGACGGGCGCCTGATCGTGCCAGAAACGTCACCGTCTACTAAGGATCCTGTTGAGCCCGGTCTCTGTCTGGACCTGAAACGAGGCCCCCGGGCCCCGCAGCCAGTGAGGGCTGGGAAGTCGGTTCTCCCGATTCCTGGGGGCCGCTGCTGGTGGTGGGGCCTCTGGGGGTGGGGGGTGGCCGCGCTGCAGGCATGGGAGTTCACGTCCGGAGAAATCTGTCCTGGAGCTCGTCCTTGCTGGCCGGCCTGACCTGGGGACAAGGCTTTGGGCCGCGCTGCCCGGCCTGGAGGCTCCCAGCCAGCCCCCTGGCACCCCTGCTGGAGACCGCCTGGCGGAAGCCGGGTAATGCCGCCGCCCCGCCCGGCCCTCAGCCGCACTGGCACCTCTGCACCTCCCCTCCCACCCCACCCCAGCCCATGCGGGAGCCTTCGCAGGCGACCCGAGTTTCCAGCGCTCATCTGGTGACTGGATTTGAATAACCCGTTCTCTCTGGGCCGGAGGGGTGGGGCAGTGCTGCCCCCTGGGGGTGGCCGTGAGCATTGCCGCGAACCCCGGCCAGGCTTAGGTAGAGACGGGCTTAGGTGGAGAGGGCTTAGGTGGAGACGGGCGGTCGGTTTCCTGCTTTTTCCTCTTCCCCCAACCTTCCCTTTCTCTGTGAAATTCATCTTAATTGAAAAGGTGATGGGGGGGGGCAATATTATTTCTCTCTTGAATAATTAAGAAATCTTGGCCGGCCACAGTGACTCACACCTGTAATCCTAGCACTCTGGGAGGCCGAGACAGGAGCCTCGCTTGTGGTCAGGAGTTCAAGACCAGCCTGGGCAGGAGCGAGATCCCCGTCTCTACTAAAAATAGAAAAAATTAGCCAGGCGTGGTGGCTCATGCCTGTAGTCCCAGCTACTCGGGAGGCTGAGGCAGGAGGATTGCTTGAGCCCAGGAGTTTGAGGTTGCTGTGAGCGAGGCTGACGCCACGGCACTCACTCTAGTCGGGCAACAGAGTGAGACTCTGTCTCAAGTAAATAAATAAAAATGTAGCCCCCTGGTTGTGACACTGGATCTTAAGTCGTCCCAGCCCCTCCTTGACCTGGCCCCAGGCTGACCCCGTTTTGCCCAGAAGGGGTCTCATCCTCAAGCACTCTGGGGCCTTTGGAGGGCCACCGTCCTCTGCAGCAGCCTGTGTGGGGTCTTTCGGGTCAGACCTCTGGGCAGGCAGCCCGGACAGGGACAGGGGCGTAGGACAATGTGGGGCTGCCTGCAGCCAAGCCCTGGGGCATGGGGTGAGCCCAGACCCCCCACGTGTGCCTGGGGAAGGTGACAGGCCAGAGGGTGGGTGGCCCTGGAGAGCCACGGGGAAGGGGCTGGATGGGTGTGGGTGACACTGGGGCTGGGGTGGGGGCGGGGAGGGCCTGGCTCACAGGTGGCCCCGGCGCGGAGTGTGGGCAGCACTGCTGCAGGTGGGGAAGGGAAGGAGCTGGCAGGACGTGTGGCCGGGAGGCCGGGAGGCCGGGGGACGTTGTCTCCTCTGAGGACAAGGCCGGGATGAAGGAGGAGAGGGGACAGGATGGTAGGACCACCCTGGAGGGTCTGGGGTGAGAGGCGATGGCAGCGCCGTTCCCAGCCACCCAGCCCACGCGAGGAGGGAGGCGCTCTGAGGCCTGCTGGGAGCCCAGGGTGCCGCAGGGGACGAGGCCAGAGGCAGGACGGGCAGACGGGGCAGGTGCAGACCCCCACCGGGAGGTGGCCCAGAGCAGAGGGGCTTGGGGACGGGCGTGCAGGTCAGCGCTGCAGAGAACGCAGCGAGCTGAGCCCGGGGAGGGTGGGAGGCGGGTGAGGCGGGGTCGCAGGAGTGCGGGAGGGGAGGGCGGGAGCCCGGAGCGGTGGAGGCTGCCCCGGGCGGGCGGCGAGGCCCCCACGCAGCAGACTCGGCCCCCGGCGGGCGCTGTCCCGGCGGCGCTGCCCGCACCTCCCACTGTGGCAGGCGGAAGGACACAGGGTGCGGAGGTGGTGGCGCCGGCGTTTATTTCGGGCGGCTCACAGGCGTTGGTGGTGGAAGAGCTGGTGCTGGCACACGGGGCACGAGTGCTTCACGTCCATCAGGCCCCGGATGCAGAAGGGGATGAAGCAGCAGCCCAGCGTGCACCTGCACCGCCGGGGGGCCTCTGTTCTAAAGCTCCTCGGTGACCCTCCGGGCCCACCGCGACGAGAGCGCCCTGAACCCACCCATTCTGGCCGCCCGTGGTCACGCCAGCCCAGGTGCCTGCCCTGAGCCCGCCACTTTGCAGGTACTGCCCCCCCCACGCAGCCCCCACCGTTCTGGGGAACCGGGCAAGGGGCCTTCTCCGAGGGAGGCAAGGACCTCCCTCTGGGCATGGTCCTGCCCTGCCCCCCTCACCCCTGCCACAGCCAGCCCTCCCCCACCCCGTGAGCCCCCCAACCCCCACCCCAAACGCTCAGGGCCTCTGCGGAGGCCGAGAGGCGGCCGCTCACCCTAACATGAAGATGCCCGCACACAGCAGCCAGGTGAGGACTCCTGGCACGTGTGAGGTCACCGTGATGACGGTGTTCCCGCAGTAGGGGCAGATGGTCTGTATCGGCAGGGCCGTCCTCGCCCTAGGCACTCTGGTGTACATCTCTGGGGGTGGGGAGGCAGGAGGGACCCCTGGGCGAGAGCCCCTGTGACCTCTCACCTCCTGCAGGCTCTCAGCGCTCACCTGAGCACCCGAAGCCAGCGCCCCGCCACCCTCCTGCCCACCCGCCTCAGGCTCCGCATCAGTCAAGTCCCCGGGCGGGCCAAGGCACAGACAGACGGGCCTGAGGGCTGCGAGCATCTCCGGGGTCAGCCCAGCGGGGTGCCCGGGATGCCCTGCCATGCAGGTCCCTAGCACTTCAGTCTCTGCACTTCGAGGGCTCTGACATCCTTGCTAGAGCAGCGGCGTGGAAGACAAGCAGGCAGCCCTTCCTGCCGTTTCCGCCCGAATGCGGCTCTCTGTGCTTGGGCCGTGGGACAAGCGTCTGCTTATTTCAACACTGCAGCCACTTCTGCATCCTCGGCGGTGGCTGGGTCTGAACGGCCGGCCCCCAGTGGTGGGGAGGGTGCGTGAAGGCTTCCTCCCAGGCCTGGGGTGAGAAGATGCTGGGATCTGGGGAGCGGCGGCCCTGATATGTGTGGGGTGCAAAGCGGACACCCCACCTGGGGGAAACCAAGGCACAGGCCCGTGTGTGGCTGGAAGGGGCATCCCAGGGGGCTCTCGGGGCGCTTCCCACCCTCGAGGCCGTCTTCCTGCGTTTTCCTCTCTGTGGTCTGGGTAGAGAGTTCACTCCATAAGCGTTTCCTGAGCACCTGCTGTATACCAGCCCTGGCCACCAGTGCCTCCACCTTGGAGATGCCCGGGTGTCCGTGGGCGACGGGAGCGCTGTGGAGCGCCCCAGCTGGCCAGCCGCGGGAGTCACACGGCCCGGGGAGGGGGGCGGGGGGGGGCGGGGGGGACACACACGCCCGTGCACAGCGGTCAGGAAAGCACCTTCCGGGCAGCCCCGAGCCGGAGGCAAAGCAGGGAGAGGCGGTGGCGGGAGGAGCTCACCTGTGGAGACAGCCTGTGAGGCTCCCAAGTGCCCCGGGGCGGAGCCTTGACCTCTCGGAGGAGGAGGTGGAGGATAAACGCGATGAGGATAATGAGTATCTTTAGGAGAGAGGCAGGAAAAACACCCTCAGATCTGAGGCTCCCCGTACACCGGGCACGAGCTGGCACTCGGCCAGCCTGAGGGAGGCGCCCATCTTTCAGAATAGAAAGCTGAGGCCGGAGGAACGAATTGAGTTGCCGATGGCTGTGCAGCCAGCAGGTAGGGGAGCTGGGATTTGAACCCCTGTGTCCTAGCATGTAAGCTCTTCCTGGAGGCAGGGCCAGGAAGTCCAGGGTGCAGAGACAGCCTGGGGCCCTGTGGTCTTTTTAGAAAACTACTGAGCATTTATCACCCGCTGCACCCTGCGCTGAACACTGCACCACACTCACTCCTGCCAGAACATCAGCGAGGCAGGCGTGAGGCAATCCAGCTTTGCAGGTGTGAAGACTAGGCTCAGAGAGGTTAAGTAACTCCCCCGAGGTCACCCAGTAGATAAGCATCAGGCCCAGGATGGAGCCTCAGTGTGCCAGAGCCCACGTGCTGCCACGCCCCGGGCGGGCTGCGACCCAGCTACGCCTTTGGAGGAGGGCTGTTTGGGTCCCAGTGCCGCCCGCCACTTTCCCCAAGCGCGGCTCCATCCCGAGCGTGTGGACACCCCGGCTCACACCCTCGCCTCCCCGTAGCCGCCCCTGGCCAGCCCTCGGGCCTCCAGAGCGTCCCCAGGCCGGCCTTGGAGTTCTGGGGTCCCGATGCCCAGCGGGTGGTCCAGGAGAGGGGAGGGTGGGGGCCGAGCCCACCTTCACTGCGTGTGCGCGACAGGTCCCTGTGTGTTCCCTCTGAGAGCCATGTGGGCGCTGTGCACAGGGACCTGGGCCCTGTCTTTTTTTTTGAGACAGAGTCTCGCTCTGTTGCCCGGGCTAGAGTGCTATGGCGTCAGCCTAGCTCACAGCAACCTCAAACTCCTGGGCTCAAGCGATCCTCCTGCCTCAGCCTCCCAAGTAGCTGGGACTACAGGCATGCGCCACCATGCCTAGCTAATTTTTTCTATATATTTTTAGTTGTCCAGCTAATTTCTTTCTATTTTTAGTAGAGACAGGGTCTTGCTCTTGCTCAGGCTGGTTTCGAACTCTTGACCTCGAGTGATACACCGGCCTTGGCCTTCCAAAGTGCTAGGGTTACAGGCGTGAGCCACCGCGCCCAGCCTGGGCCCTGTCTTGACACTAGATCCTCCTGCACTCCCGGGAAGGGCCTGGTGGCTCCACGGGGCCCAATGCCCCCTCCCAGGGTGGGGCCCATCCAAGAGCAGGAGGGGCTCCCACTTCACGCCACACGGGCTGGACTCTGGGACAGCAAGAGGCTGCTCGCCCAGCCAGGGGTCCCGCACCCCTGCTTGGGACTGTTCCCTGGCCTTGTTTTACAGGCGAAGACGCTGAAGGCCGGAAAGGGCTCCCAGCCGGAAGATCAGCCTGGCCTCGAGCCCCTGTGTGGGCCTCTCTTTCCTCCTCTCAACCAGGGCATGTGGCCGGTCGCCCCGGCCGGAGTGCAGTGGCGTCATCACAGCTCACTGCCACCTTCAACTCCTGGGCTCCAGCGATCCTCCCACCTCAGCCTCCCAAGGAGCTGGGACGACAGGCATCTGCCACCACACCCGGCAGAGTACCATTTTCCATATGAGAAAGAAACAGCTCAGAGGGAGTTGACGACTTTCCCAAGGCCACGTCAGCACGGCCAGGCGGAGGCCAGGACCCCCACTCCCACCCCACTCGGTCCAGGCGTTCTGCGACCACCCAGGGTTGGGGGTGTCATACCTTTTGTGGGGGAGTCATTGCTTGTCTTTGGCAAATTCCTTGGGAAACTTTAAGAGAAGGTACACGCTGTTGGAGGCCCCAGGGCCTGATCTCCCCTACCGCGCCCTGCGGCCCCTGGGTCGGCGGGGCCAGCAGGACTCGAGGGCAGGAGGTCAAGACTGGACTCGGCCCCCAGCTCGGCCAGGGGACCTGTGGTGGCCTCGCCTGCTTCTCCATGGGCCCCATCGTCGCCTTGCCCCTGGCCTGTCCCCAGCACCTAAGGGAAGGGAAGGAATCCTCACCCTGGGGCTTGTTCCATCCTTGGACCCTGGAGGGCTTTTGTCCTAGCAACGGTGTCTCGGCAGCCTCGGGTTCCGAGCTCTGAGAGGCCGGGCTCCTATCCCGAGGAACCCTCATGGTGAGGCCTGGTTGCCAGGAGGAGGCGGGGGCAGGGCCTCCCCCAGGCGCCTCCTGCGGGGTCTGGCTCGGGTGGAACAGCCATTGTGACCTGTGTCTTCACAGTGGTCGCACGGAGTGGGCCTCGTCCTCACTTCCGGCGGGAGTTGGGCCCGGGCGGGCCGCAGACGCAGCCCCAAGAACCCACGTTCCCACCGCCCCTGCCTCTGCGCGATCCAGAGCCTGGAAAAGGCCGGGCGTGGTGGTGGCTCACGCCTGTAATCCTAGCTCTCTGGGAGGCCGAGGCGGGAGGATCGCTTGAGCTCAGGAGTTCGAAACCAGCCTGAGCAAGGGCGATACCCCGTCTCTACTAAAAACAGAAAGAAATTAGCTGGACAACTAAAAATATGCAGAAAAAAATTACCCAGGCGTGGTGGCACATGCCTGTATGCCAGCACTCGGAGGCTGAGGCAGGAGGATTGTGAGCCCAGATTTGAGGTTGTGTGAGCGAGGCTGACGCCACGGCACTCACTCTAGCCTGGGCAACAGAGTGAGACTCTGTCTCAAAAAAATAAAAAGAGAGAGGCTGAAAAATATGAATCCTGTTTGAGCCGGCCGTCCTCCTCTGCGGGGCTCGCCCCGACGGCGTCACCTGGCGTGTGCAACGACCTCGCTGTGTATATGTTGGCGTCCTCCTTGTAGAAACGCACATTCGTGCAGGTTCGTACGCCCACGCATGCTCACGCGTGTCCCTGCACACGCGCATGTGCGTCTCCCTGCTCTCGCGTGCAGGCCGCCTCCTGCTGATCCGCGCGCAGGAGCGTGGGCCAGACCCCTGACGCCTCCAACTCCTCACTTCCTCTTTCTTTTTATTTTGAGACAGCGTCTCACTCTGTTGCCCAGGCTAGAGTGAGTGCCCTGGCGTCAGCCTCGCTCACAGCAACCTCAAACTCCTGGGCTCAAGGATCCTCCTGCCTCAGCCTCCCAGTAGCTGGGACTACAGGCATGCGCCACCAGTGCCGGCTAATTTTTTCTATATATATTTAGTTGGCAATTGATTTCTTTCTATTTATAGTAGAGACGGGGTCTCGCTCTTGCTCAGGCTGGTTTCGAACTCCTGAGCTCGAGCAATCCGCCCGCCTCGGCCTCCCAGAGTGCTGGGATTACAGGCGTGAGCCACCGCGCCCGGCCTCACTTCCTCTTTCTGTAACATGGGGGCGACAACCTTATAGAGTAGCTGTGAAGTCAAATGCCACGACGGCTTGCTCCAGATGTGGCCAGTGAAGCCGGCAGGGTTGCTGTTACACGCGATGTCCCGAGAGAGAAGCTCCCAGTGACAGCGGCGTCCTCTGTGCCAAGGACAGGCGGAGGGCTTCACCCCGGCCACAGCCAGTGACCGCCATGCCCAGGCCCATGCTGGCCCAGCTCCCGGCTGGGCTGCTAGACGCCTCCCCTCGCGCCAGAGGATGTCGGGGACCCTGAAGGTAGAGCCGCTTGGCTGTCGGCTTGGCAGACGCCGGACGTTACGCCAGTCTAGGAAACGGGCGGTTCTTACCCCTGGCCGCGGGCGTCCGCGGTGCCCAGCAGAGCTACAGGCGTGGGACCCTCTGACGCGGGAACACCATTTCTACAAATCCGGCCAGAGACGGACTCGCAAAAACATCAAGTGATGCGGGCACGGAGCTGTTCAGTGCAGTAGCGAAAGAAAGGAAGGGAAGGAAAGAAGGGAGATCTTATATCGCCGCCACGGAGGAGTCTCTCCAGGGTATACTGTTAAAAAGCAAGAAGAAGAAGAAACGTGTACATATGCATACACTGTAACATACGTATATGTAATATATACATATGAAAGTGGTATATGGTGTGTGTACATGTATGTGTGTGTGTATATGTATGTCACTACTTTTTGTGTAAGTAAAGGGGATTTATAGTTTCCAAAAAGAAACAAAGGAAGAATAAATTTAAGAACTGATTAAAGTGCTGGGAGGCCGAGGCAGGCGGGTTGCTCGAGGTCAGGAGTTCGAAACCAGCCTGAGCAAGAGCGAGACCCCGTCTCTACTATAAATAGAAAGAAATTAATTGGCCAACTAATATATACAGAAAAAATTAGCCAGGCATGGTGGCGCATGCCTGTAGTCCCAGCTACTCGGGAGGCTGAGGCAGCAGGATCGCTTGAGCCCAGGAGTTTGAGGTTGCTGTGAGCTAGGCTGACGCCACAGCACTCTAGCCCGGGCAGCAGAGTGAGACTCTGTCTCAAAAACAGAAAGAATAGCTCGAGGTCAGGAGTTTGAAACCAGCATGAGCAAGAGTGAGACCCTGTCCCTACTAAAAATAGAAAGAAATTAATTGGCCATCTAAAAATATATAGAAAAATTTAGCCAGGCATGGTGGCGCATGCCTGTGGTCCTAGCTACTTGGGAGGCTGAGGCAGGAGGATTGCTTGAGCCCAGGAGTTTGAGGTTGCTGTGAGCTAGGCTGATGCCACAGCACTCTAGCCTGGGTAACATAGTGAGACTCTGTCTCAAGAAACAAACAAACAAAACACAAAAAGAAAAAGAAAAACGAAAGAAAAACTAAAAAAAAAAGAAAATAGTCCATTTGGGCTGCTACAGCAAAGAATACCATAGGCTACGCACGTTATAAACAACAGACATTCATTTCCCACAGTCCTGGAAGCTGAGTAGTCCAAGATTAAGGCACCAGCAGATTCCTGATGTCTGGGGAGGACCCAACCCCTGGTTAATTGATTAAGAGATGGCTGTCTTTTCACCTTGTCCTCAGAAGGTGGAAGGGGGGAGAGAGTTCTCTGAGGTCTCTTTTATTTTTGTTTTTACCTTCCTAATTTATCGTTGCTATTTTTAATTTTTGTTATTATAATTTTCCTTTTTTTTTGGCTCCCTGTCAGGGAATCGAACCCCGGTCTCTCGTGTTATAATTTTCTTTTTCATGAGGACTCTGCCTTCATGACCCAATCACCTCCCAACACCATCACAGTGGGGATTAGGTCAATCCACCTTACCTTTTTTTTTCTTGAGACAGAGTCTCACTTTGTTGCCCAGGCTAGAGTGAGTGCCGTGGCGTCAGCCTAGCTCACAGCAACCTCAAACTCCTGGGCTCAAGCAATCCTGCTGCCTCAGCCTCCCGAGTAGCTGGGACTACAGGCATGCGCCACCATGCCTGGCTAATTTTTTTCTATATATATTAGTTGGCCAATTAATTTCTTTCTATTTATAGTAGAGACGGGGTCTCGCTCTTGCTTAGGCTGGTTTCGAACTCCTGACCTCAAGCAATCTGCCCACCTTGGCCTCCCAGAGTGCTAGGATTACAGGCGTGAGCCACCGCACCCGGCCCATCTTACGTTTTTAATGAATGTAAGACTAAGTGGCAGAAACGAGTACGCTTGACTCCTAAACACCTCAGCCTGCCTCTCACGGAACTAGAGTTCAATACTGGGGATTCGGATTCATGCATATGAATTTGAGGGGGACACACCCAGTCTACGGCAGAGGACAGCTGGACTCTGTTCCATTTGTCTCTCGCCCTCAGCTGCTGTGTTCTCACAGGGGTGTATGTTGGGGTGCACAGGCGAAGGGCCCAGGACGCAAGCCCATTTCAAGCCTCTGTTTTCATCCCGTCAGCTAACATGCCAGTGACCAAGGCAAGTGACATGGCACCGGGCGAGAGAGTGGAACAAGTCTCCCTCTTGTGACGGAGCTGCAAAGCTACGTGGCGGTGAGCGCGCATCAGGAGGAAGAAGAGAGCCATCGTGGCAATCTACCCTAAAGAGGAAGCCAGTCGTCAGAGAGAGAATAGAAGCGCTTAATCAGCATGTACTTTATTAATATAGTGCTCAGCTCACAAGGGGGTTACACCCTGATAAACGCAGCGTTCAGCTGGGAACTTTGCAAGTCGAAATGCATTTAATATATGGAGCCTACCAAGCAGCATAGCTTAGCCTCGCCTACCTTAAACGCGCTCAGAACACTGACGGTAGCCACAGTTGGGCAACGTGACCTAACACAAAGCCTGCTTCCTAATAGTGTCGACTATCTCGCGTAATTTGCTGAACGCCGTGCTGAAAGTGAAAACCAGAATGGTCGTATGGCTACCTGGAGTACAGTTTCTGCTGCAGGCGTGGCACTTTTGCACCATCGTAAAGCGGAAAAATCATCAGCTTGAACCATCGGAAGTCAGGGCCTGCCTGTAGGGACGGTGTCTTGTGCAGGCGGCAACACAACTGCGCCGAGACTCTGCCTGCAGCGCCACCTGCTGGCCGCGGTTATTCCAGAAACTGAACCGCGGAGGAGAGATTTGGCGTGAGTGCTCAGGTTGCCCATCCATCTTCCTTGCTGTGAAGAGTGGCAGCGAGGTGATGATCATTTGGCGCCATCGGCACCGCAGGCCGGCGGAGTGAGCGTGCCCATTCCTGATTTCCACGAAGGTGTTGTGTAGGCTCTTGTCTTTGTGGGAAACAGAGGTGCTTCCTCTGTGCTCAGGCCTCCTTCCCGCGGCACCCCTCCCCCCCTGGCTCCCTGCTTTCCTGTCTCTCTCTGTGGCCCTCTGCACGTCTCACAGATCCGTCTTCCTTGCTGTGTGTCCACCCCGACTACAACAGCAGCTCCCCGAGAGCGGGGTAGTTTGTTTGCTTTTTCCATTTTTTTTTTATTGCACTAAAACAGGCATAACATAAAATTTACCATTTTAACCATTTCTGGGGGCGTGTCACACTTCTGTATGAAGGGGGCCAGTGTGAGACTTGCTGACGGTGACACATGGGAGGGAGGACATCACCTGCCTGGTTTCCCGCTGCAGGCCTGCTGCCTGGCGTAGCGGAGCCGCCCAGCAGGTACAGGCTGAGTGTGTGAATGAACAAACGAATGAGCCCATGAAGAAATGAATGAGCTACGTGCCCCCCATGCTCACTGCCCACCCCACGGGGCCTGAAATGCCCTGATGCCACACCCCCGGGCCTGGGGTCTTTGTGTAGACCTGAGATCACACATCTTGGGATGGGGGCGGGGGCTGCCTCCTTCCCTGGGGTTTTTTTGTTTGTTTGTTTTTTGGTTTTTTTTTTTTTTTTTTTTTGAGACAGAGTCTCGCTTTGTTGCCCAGGCTAGAGTGAGTGCCGTGGCGTCAGTCTAGCTCACAGCAACCTCAGACTCCTGGGCTCAAGCGATCCTCCTGCCTCAGCCTCCCGAGTAGCTGGGACTACAGGCATGCGCCACCATGCCCGGCTAATTTTTTCTATATGTATTAGTTGGC